ATATGGATTCATTATATACACTAGGCCAGTATATTTGGTCTGCCCGAATCCAAGTCTAGATGTTTAGGGTTTCTGCACCTTTTTGCTGCCATCTGGTGGTGGTTCCTATTTCTGAAGCACTGTGATATTTGGTGAGATATGATATCAATATAAATATTAAAAAGCAGATTGATCTATTTCATAGGTCATAGAAGTCAAGTGTAGTGTGCTGTGTACAGTATTCCAATCTTGTATATGATTACACAATATGGTTTCCACTACCAGGTTATCCATAAATCTAATGTATTACTTGCTAACTTTATCCATTTCACCTGGGGAATATATTAAAATGAGTTTAATATGACTGCTTGCATTTCTCAGTGCAATTGTAATTCCTGTTGTGGAAGAGCTGGTTTGCAACTAAACCAAATGGGTAATTTTGTTTATTAGGAAAAGAAAGCAATGTTTACTGTGGTGTTATTGTTTCTTTATCTTGCTAATATAGATTCTTTAATTCTGTTTTTTTTCCTGTCAAGAATGTTTAATATTTTGGGTGGTTTGATGTCAGTGGGCTATGCTGCATAGTATTACTTAAAGCTTCAAAGTACTTTATTCCCATTTCAAATTACAGTTAAAGAGAGTCCTCGACTTAAGACTGGTTGCTTAGTGACGATTCAAAATTATGACAGACACCACCACCCCAGCTACTAAAATAATAAAGTGGGATTTTTTTTTAAAATAGCCATAGTTTGTATTTAGTTCCTGTGATACTTTACTTTTACTGGATTTATATCCTAATAAATGTACACCTGCTTTTCAGCAAACATATTAATGACCTTCTACGATAGTATAGCCTATGAAGGTGCATGCCAAATGATAAACGTGTTTGCTTCTTGAGTATCACCTTTAAATAGATGCATGTGGAATCATTTTGGTGTAGTGGTTAAAGCATTGGACTGGGGACATGGAAGCCCCAGTTTCTAGTCCACCCAAGCTATGGAAATTCTAAGTGACTTTGGGCTAGTCCTTTCCTCTCAGATAAGTCTACATCACAAAACTATTATGGGCTAAAATATGAGGAAAGAATGCTGTGTATGCTCCTGAATGAAAAATGGAATATAAATAAAATATATTTGTGTTAGCTCTGTTTTCCTATTGCAGGAGTACACAAATTCTTTTGTTGCTTTACATTTTCTGATTTCTAGTTCTTAATACAGGTAGTCCTTGACTTACAACATTTGTTTAGTGATTGTTTGAAATGAGAACAGCGCTAAAAATAGTGACTTTTGACAGTTTTTTTCGCCTATATGACCATTGTTGCATCGCCATGGTCACATGACCAAAATTGAGACGCCTGGCAATTGGCTCATATTTATGATGGGTGCAGTGTCCTGGTGTCGTGGGATCACTTTTTGCGACCTTCTGGGAAAGCCAGATTCACTTAATAACCGTGTTGCTAACATAACTGCACTAATTCATTTAACGACCGTGGCAAGAAAGGTCATAGAATGTGGCAAAACTCACTTGAATCTCTCACTTAGCAATGGAAATTTGGGGCTCAACTGTGATCATAAGTCGAGGACCATTGTAATAATATTCCCTGTCATCTCTGTAGATTATTTGCAGGTATCGTTCCATCTGGAATCTAGATCTGCATTTGCGGCCAGTTTTCCTTTCAGGGATAATGAACGCCACTGGTAAGCACTTCATTGCTCAACTGAGCTTAGATGAAGATTAGGCACACTCCTGTAGCAACTAGTTACAAAAGTAGAGTTACAAAACTCTAGATCAAGCATTGCATGTTTGTTTTTCTCATGTCTTTCTTTAAAGGCAATCTGAATTAGCTCTATCATATATAATATATATATTGAGTATGGCCAGTCTAGAGAAAGCTGTCTAAAATGATGATTTTAGGGGACTAGAAGCTAAAACATATGAAGAATGGTTGCAGGAATTGGGTATGTCTAGTTTAATGAAAAGGACTAGGGGGTGACATGATAGCAATATTCCAATATTTGAGGGGCTTTCACAAAGAAGAGGGAGTCAAGCTATTCTCCAAAGCACCTGAAGGTAGGACAAGGATGGTAGATGGAAACTAATCAAGGAGAAAAGCAAACTAGAATTAAGGAGAAATTTCCTAACAGTGAGAACAACCAACCAGTGGAAGAGCTTGCCTTCAGAAGTTGCGGGTGCCCCATCACTGGAGGCTTTCAGGAAGAGACTGGACAGCCATTTGTCTGAAATGGTCCAGGGTCTCCTGCTTGTGCAGAGGTTGGAGTAGAAGACCTCCAAAATCCCTTCCATCTCTCTTATTCTGTATTCTGTGTATGTGTTGGATATAAGTTGCTTTTTAAAATTTCCCTTAACATCTTCATTGGAACCTTCATGCTTTCTAAAATATTAATATCATGGTCTATTTTTGAAGAACTCTTCAAGTGATTCAAAACGTATACTGGATTGGCCATTTTAAACCTTAGTTTAAAGATTGATAAATGCAAGTTCACTTTATTTTCTTTATGCCTGGTCCTTTAGTCCCTCTAGTGTTTATTTGCAACATTCAAAGAATCTCAGTTCCTAATAAGGATTTAATTCTGTTCTCACTAATGTATGTAATATATATTTTTTCCAAACTGTAAATGTTCCAAATTTATTTATTTCTTTCTTCCTTTTCACTTTTTGTCAATATATTGTTTTATATCAGGGGTGCCAAACTTGCAATGTCACGTGACATGTTGCAATGTATTGCAACTTTTTTCCCATTTTCCGGCAATGGGGTGGGCGCGGTTTTGCCATGATGCATCTGGCCCGCTGGCCGGCAGTTTGACACACCTGTTTTATACTGTTAAAAGTCTGTATTAAAAAATTAAACTTGTCATTTTTGAGTCAAATTAAACTTGTCATTTTTGAAGGTCTCTGGTATCCATGAGATCCTTAAATTGATCATTTAGCAATTAGTAATTAGAAATGAGTGCAGATGTATTATTTTCCTTTTTAAAGGCTTTTCTGGGTTGAGAGCAAGATCACAGCTGATGCTCAATCCTGTTGGGAATTGCTGCTGTCTAGTATGATTTGTTCATAGTTAACTGTGGACTTGGCTATTCTGTAATAACTAATTTTGGTTGAATTAATTAAAAAAAAATAACTTCTTCTCTCCATTAAAATTAAGTCTGCAGTATTCAGGTTTCCATAATCCCACCCAAACCTAGAATATTAGCTTTCCATACCTTGTTGGATGGGAAATAAACACAAACACAAAAGAAAAGGTTTACTATTAAAATTACATTTTGTGACATGCTGTCTTTTGCAACAGGGAACCAGCCTCCAGCAATGCTTCCCAAGAGAGGAGAGTATTTGCAAAAGGATGTCAGTCAAATGGGAAAGTATTGCCAAGTGCCAATAAATTTACCAAAGGATTTTGTAAACGCTATGATAGTGAAAGGTAATGAAAGAGATTGTTTTCTCAAAATTGGTGTCAGGTATTTGGGAAATGATGGTTTCTGCCCATGTGGAGGACATCAGGAAGTGAAAAGTCAAAAATGTCCTTTTAAAAGTAAGGGTGGGTTTGTCCCCCCTCTCATCAGCATTTATACAGCTTCTCTAGTGCACTTTTGTGTCTGTCTCTGCTGCCTACAGGAAGTCTGCCTGCCATGCGTTTCATCACTGCTGTAGATATAGCAGAACCTCAGTTTCTGGAGTCTGTTTCTAGAGAACTCTGGATGCGCATTTGGTCCAGGGTAAATATTGAGATCTTGCACACATATGCATCTCTCTTGCCATTTCTCTGTCCTTTCTGATGATCTCTTTTAGATACCTAGGCAAGAAAGTTGAAATCATCTGAATGAGACCTGCACTCATGTCAGTCAACTACGCCAACCACAGAACTATATGGGGACCTCCAGAAATTTATTCTTTAAGACCCATTTAAATGAATAGGGCAGTTTGAAATTTCAGCTATATCTAATTTTTCTCTTCATTCTCTCCCTTCTGTTTTGGGTAGGTTAAATTAGGGAATATGGACCTATTTTAATCTAATTACATTAGACAAATCAGGCCAACAAAGGCCATTTTTGTCCATCATGATTTTCGTTTAGTTTTATTTTCTTATCTCATTATTTTCATGACCCACCTTATCCATAAGGTTTAATAATCAGTTGCCATATTTTTTTGTTTTTCCAGGATGAAGACATAGTTCAGCCAGAAAGTATATTAGCAGTAAGTTCCTGCTCTTCTTCTCTTGTTCTTTTCCTGCAGGTGTTTCAGATGCAAAAGGGCGGGTCTGTGCTGTTGGCTGGATAATTTTGAAAGAGGTTTAAATTGGGGAGTGTTTACATGCCTTCCCTTCCCACTCCGTTCTCCTGAGTATGGAACTCTTGTACTCTAGAATTTCCTTTGGGAGCAATATTGCTGTCAGTGAAGACTATCCATGCATGAGCGACCTTGTGTGGCTTCGTTGTCTCCCTCAGTTATTAATTCTTTCAAGGGTGTAGAAGTGTTTTATTCTTTTAACATTGGCAAATCGGGAGAAAATTTGTCAATAGTGTTATCACTAGGTCTGGTGCATGGAAATGCAGTTTTCCTAGGCCTAAGACTATCTAATATGAATTCCATATGATCTATGGCTTATTTTTCTAAAGTATTGTGTATTATTTAATTTATATGGGGGATGATCTCAAGGTCAATAAATAATTTGCATGTTGAGTGTCCTGGGTTCATTCCTATCATCTTTAGGCAGAAAAATCTCAGCCTAACACTCTGGAGACCCTCAGAGAGAAGAGGAAAATTCTAGCTAAACGGACTAATCTTTGAACAACAGTTACAAAGAAAAATAAAAAATAAAATCCGGAATCTGGTAGTACTTTTTTTACGACTAACCATTTTTAAGAAAGGGCCTCAGCTTTCATATGGATTCCATGCGTCATGAATTGCAGCTGACAAAAACTTAGGCTTTTTCATAACATTTGTTGCTCAGAAAAGGTGCTACCAGACTCCTTGTAATTGTGGATTACTATAGATTGTCATTGTTGGAATAAAGAAAAAGAACATTGAAAACAAGGAATGCCTTGT